TCAGATGCACAGTTCAAAGCACTGGTGATCAGGAAGCTCACAGAATTGGTTGAATTTGGTTGCAAATTAGATGAAAAAATAAAAGCTACACTAAATGAAATGAAGGAAAACGCAAAGGGAACCAATAGTGATGGGAAGAAAACTGGGGCTCAAATCAATGGAGTGGACCAGAAGGAAGAAAGAAACAATCAAACAGAAAAGAATGAAGAAACAAGAATTCAAAAAAATGAGGAGAGGCTTAGGAACCTCCAGGACATCTTTAAACATTCCAACGTCTGAATTATAGGGGTACCAGAAAGGGAAGAGGAAGAGCAACAAGTGGAAAAGTTATTTGAACAAATAATAAAGGAGAACTACCCCAATCTGACAAAAGAAATAGACTTCCAGGAAGTCCAGGAAGCTCAGAGAGTTCCAAAGAAGTTGGACTCAAGGAGGAACACACCAAGGCACATCATAATTACATTAGCTAAGATAAAAATGAAAGAGAGAATCCTAGAAGCAGCAAGAGATAAGGAGACAGAAACCTACAAAGGAGTTCCCATCAGACTGTCAGCTGATTTCTCAAAAGAGACCTTACAGGCAAGAAAGGGCTGGAAAGAAGTATTCCAAGTCATGAGAGACAAGGACCTATATCCCAGATTGCTATATCCAACAAAGCTTTCATTTAGAATGGAAGGGCAGATAAAGTGCTTCTCAATAAATAGGGTCAAGTTAAAGTAATTCATCATCACCAAGCCCTTATTATAAGAACTGTTAAAGGGACTTATCTAAGAAAAAGAAGATAAAAAACATGTACAGTAAAATGACAGCAAACTCACCATTATTAACAACCACACCTAAAACAAAAACAAAAACAAACTAAGCAAACAACCAGAACAGGAACAGAACCACAGAAATGGAGATCACATGGAGGGTTAGCAACAGGAGAGTGGGAGGAGGAAAGAGGGGGAAAAGGTACAGAGAATAAGTAGCACAGATGGTAGGTAGAAAATAGACAGGGGGAGGGCAAGAATAGTATGGGAAATGTAGAAGCTAAAGAACTTATGACACATGGACATGAAGTAAAGGAGGGGAATATGGGTGGGATACAGTGTGCAGCGTGGAGCAGAATGAAGGGGGAAATGGGACAACTGTAATAGCAAAATCAATAAAATATATTTTAAGAAAAAAATGTCTGATAGACAAATGTATGTTCTTCATCCATTTGACGAAGGCACGCACACGTGCCTTTCTCCAGCAAACACTTACTGAAAGTGCACTTGGTCCCAGGCCCAATGCTAATTACAACGGTAAGTAAGATACATTCCCTCTCTGCTAGAAGCTCACAAATAGGACAACACGATGGAGTAAGTGTAATGATGGAGGAGACAAAGAAGACAGAGCAGGGGTAGGAAAGCAGGGTAGGCTCCTGTGTGTGTGTGATCTGAAATAGAGTTAAACAAATACACATAGTGATCATGGGGAACCTTAAGACATTTGATTTTGATGAACTATCATGTGAGAGGTGAAAAAGTTAATCAGTGAGCCTAGGCAAGCAGGCAGGCAGCAGCCCAAAACCTAACAATTAACATCTACCAAGTGCTCACACCATGCCAGATGCTATCCTAAGCATTTTATTTTGTCTCATTTAATTTGTCTACTGTCCTATCCTAAGAGGTAAGTACTGTTTTTTCATCCCCATATTACAGACAAAAAAACTAAGGCACAGGTTGGTCGAGCAGCTTGCCCAAGTTCTCACAGTAAGTGGGACCGGAATCTGAACACAGGCAGGCTTCCTCTTGAGTCTATGCTTCCAAACTGCTAAACCATGCCTCTCTGGTGGTGGGGACTTACCAGACATGCATTTTGCAGCAGGATAGCAAAATGATTGAATTGCATACCAATACTCTGCATACAAATCAAACATTCTGTGGATGAAAAGGGGGCTCTGTAATAAATCTAACCAAAAATAACCTCAGAAGGCGATCTGATTATAAATTCTTAACTGGGATAGTCATAGTGAGTCATGCCTGAGGCCTATAACTTCCCTAGTAGAAGGTTATCTTTGCCTTAAGCAAACACTATTTTTGTGTGTGTGTGTTAAAGCACCTTTGAAATGCCTCATTTTCAGACTCCTCAAAAACTGAACCACCCTCAAGAGAGCATATAGTCTTAACTATCCTGTTATACAATCATACGGATTTCCCTGCCTTGCTTTCTAACCTTTCTTAATTTCAAATGTATAAAAGAAACTGCAAAATATCATTTGGAGGAGCATTTTTCTCAGTCTGTTGAGATCTTGCTTCCAGGAGTGTCTTCTGTTTGGCGCAAATAAACTCTAATAAACTCATATAAATTCTCTACAGGCTTGGATGTTCTTACTTTGACAATTTTAATAACCCCACAGACTTTAAATTTTAAAAGGAACTAAAACAAGCAGAGCAATCAGTGCCCAGAGAGTCACCCTCTCCAAATAGAATGCAACGGGGACCAAGTCAGGAAGCATCACTGACTGGCTAGGTTCATCAGAATTCTCCCATGTGAGATTAGTTAGCAAGAGAAGATAAATACCTAGTCTGTTTGGCTGTTACATTTCTCTCTATAAATGAAGAAAGATGAATTGTGAATCCCTGCCTAGGATTCCTCAGAGGGGACTGCCAACATCAAAATACTATCACTTTGTGAGGTCTCGTGCAAACTACCATCTCCTCACACGTCATGTCTGGCAGCACTCATCTGCAAAGAGCAAACGCTGATTTTCAGGTCTAAGAATGACAATTACAGAATTAAGTAACTTACCAGCCCAATGAGCCTCCTGCCTGCTCCTCTTCCTCAGGGTTCCCCAGTCACACATGTTGACATAAGAAACACACAAATCTGTAGAGAATTTTTATAAGAGTTTATTTGAATAAACTGACAACATTGCTGGGAAACAGGATCTTAAATGCTCTGGAGAATGACAGTTTTGCAGTTTCTTGTACACATTCAGAATTAAAGAAGGAACATAAGAAAGATTACATGAAGGTGGGAGAAAGCAAGGTACAGGATAGTTAATAAGATTATCATTATTATTATTTTAAAATTTACTTTTAGAGAGGGTGGAAGAGAGGGAGAGAAAAATCAGCCAGCTGCCTCTCCCACACCCCCAGCTGGGGACCTGACCTGCAACCCAGGCATGTGCCAACAGGAAATCCAACTGGCAGCCTTTGAGTTCTCAGGTGAGTGCTCAGTCCACTAAACCATACCAGCCAGGGCCCAAATTATTTATTTGCTCTCTCGAGGGTGGTTACAACTTATGCATAGTTTATGGTTGACACCTAGATGGAAAAGGATGATGGACAGGGCTTGCTTAAGGCAAAGATAAACCTTTTACTGAAGAAGTTATATGCCTAGGATGTGACTACCCACCATAACCTGCTCAGTTATGAATTTATGATCAGATCACCTTGTGAGGTTACTTATCAGATTCAAATCTGGACTTATCAGATTTATTATAGAGCCCCCCCCTTTTTTTTTTTTGGCCACATAGGAGGTCCCACCAGAAGAGAGAAACCTGGGGAACAGATGTATAACTGGGGTGTCTGGCCCAGCAGGCCCAGGCACCAGGCCCCCAGATGCCAGGTGCCACCTCTGTATACACAGCCCCTCCCTCTCCCTCTTTTCTCTACTCCCCATTTGGCTCAAAACTGAGCAGGGATATTTCTCATATATGTCTTTCTAAAAACCTTTGTAAATTTCTATGGAAAGTAATTTTGCCCTTGTTCTCAACACAGGACATTGAATTCACAACCTCACTTCCTCTTGCCCCAACTACTTCCCACCTCAATCCCATCTGATACTTCTACACAACAGATATGAGAGAGCCCAATTCTTTTCCTCTTTTCATGTGAAGTCTTTGGAAGCAGGGACCAAACACTATCTCCTAACATTACATATATATATATATATATATATATATATATATATATATATATATATATATATATATATATAAAGTTATTTGAAATTCTGTACATGGTTTCTCATCTATTCTATTCAGTAGTATAGGGGTTTGTTGCTTTATGTGTAATAATGGTTAACATCAATTGAGTATTTACTAAATGACAAGCATTTTGCATTGGATTTTCTCATTTAATTCTCATAACCACCCTATGAAGTTGATATAATTTGCATCCTTTTACAGATCAGAAAAGTAAATATAGAGAGGTTAGATAACTTATTCAAGATTACATAGATAATAAGAGGCACTCGGTCCTAATCTAGAATTTAACCTGTGTGCCACATTGCTTTCCTAGGATGTTTTGTCCCTGATTCCTTTTATCTATTGTTTTAAATCCCTGGTGTGTTTAATGCTTGGTCTGAAAGGTAGGCCTGACCAAACAACGGCTAACCATGACCCAGGTTTGACCAACAGATCCATCTCAAGCCAGAGGGCAGCAATCTGGAGCAAAGGCCTGACTCCCTTCCTCCAGGGCCCACAAGCTGTTTTCAACCCGGGCGTGACTATCCTGCTATACTCCCCATTGCTGCACGCCTGACAAGAATGAGTCCAAAGGAAATATTGGCAACCTGAGCTCGTTTGTAGAATCCATTTTTCCCATTTTATGCAGGGCGAATTATGCTCAAGGACACAGAATGAAGTAGCTCCAGTTCACAGTCACTGGGTTTACCGCTGTGAGCACAGGAATTTGCTCCATTCTCAAAGCTGGTAAACACAAATCAACCCTTTACAAAGAAACACCGAATCTGAGGTCTGAGCCACCAAAAAAAATCAGAGACAACCCCAGAATACCCTGATAGACCCGGGAGAGGGCGTTCCCGTCCTCGCCCAGCCCCACCCCGCCCAGCCCCGCCTCCGGCTCACCTCCGCCCCACCCACCCTCTGCACTCGGGTTCCAGGCCCCGCCCCCCAAAGATCGCAGCGAATCCGGGAGCAGCGGCCCCAATGCGCATGCTTGCCCCTCCATCCTGCAGGCTGAGTCGCCGCCGGCAGTGACGTGCCCCGCCCTGCAGCCGCGGGATTCAAACTCCCGGAAGCGGCGTTGTCTCCGGAGTTGTCGCCGGGCAGACGCGAGTTCAGTTTTTCACCCCAGGTGCTGGCAGCCTGCTGGGAGGCGACCTCGGAGGTTGGCGAGGGGAAGCCAGGTGCCTCAGCCCCGAGACGGGGCCGGACCGAGCGGGAGGCGGGATCATTGAGCAGATCACGTCGTCTGGGACTCAATCTCTGCCCGCCTGATTTAAGCTGGTTTTTCCTGGCACCGGGCTGGGCGCCTCACAACCGTTGTGGTTTCGATTCCTCCTTTCAGCTTTGCGGTGTGTATTATCGTCCTCTTACAGACGGCGCAGTGAGACCAGGTGACTTGGCCAAGGTCTTTCCTTAGTTGAGCATTGTGCTGATTAACAAGGATTTCTATGTCTTGAGAGATAGAGAGATAAAGTGCCTCTTTTTGCAGTTTTATTTTGCCTGTCTGCCTCCCCCGTGAAGTCTTTATGTGAGGGCTTTGTAAGATTTTCCTCCACTTGTAGATGATGTAGCCTGTAATCGATGCCTTGTGCAGTTTGCTGGATTAATTGAAATGTTTCTTTGGCCACCTCCTGTCGGCACATCTGCAAGTTATTTGTGAGCACCTGCTCTTAGGCACTGTGGGTGACAAAAACAGTTCAAGGTTCGGCCCCCATTTCCTCCCCCACACCCTAGTGGTTTGGCCACATCACTTATTTTCATGGAAAAGTTCTCCTATTTAGCAAACAGGTTATTAGACCTTTTCAAACCTGAGCTTTGACCTTGTAAACTCATATTTATAAACTATAATTGTTTCTATTTTTACAGTTTCAGAGATGTCTTGCAGAAGTCCCAAAGATTTAATTAAAAGTAAATGGGGATCAAAGTCTAGTAGCTCCAAGTCAGAAACTGCATTAGAAAAAATTAGGGGAAAAACTGCAGCCTTACAAACATCAGTGGATGAAATCACAAGTGGAAGAGGAAAACTGACTGATCAAGAGAGACACAGGCTTTTGGAGGTAAATGACCTTAAAACCCTTTTGGTTGTAATAAGCTTTATGGCAGGAGATGAGAACGTATTTCCCCACTAATGATATAACCTAGCTTTTCTGTTTACAAAATGTAAAAAATCAAATCTAATTTTTCAACGGGTTAAATGGAGTTCAGATTTTAATATGAATGTTTAAAAATCTATTTTATTGTGTGTATTGGCTGCTTTCCAAGTACTCTTTGTTTCCAGGTTCTTTTGAGATAAAATCATTACATATATTGACATCTTGCATTCTTTTAAACTATAGTTCAGGTTTCCTAATTTTCACTTTGTTGTGCCATAGTCAGTAAAGCAGTTGGGATTTTATTAGAACTGGAATGATTTAAAAGTTTAATCATTAATTTGATTTTAATATCTTTCATAATAGTACTTTTATTATGAAAGTTAGAAAATAAGTGACCTGTATTAAATAGCATCATTGGATTTGTTTAAATTCTATTTTATAGGCATATCTTAAAACCAAATGACTTATTATTTTTAAGAACACATATTGAGGTAGATACTTATTCAAGCATTAAAAAGTGATCTATCACCAATTCTTAGATATAAAGATTATTTTGCAATCCCGTGAAGGAATCTGATAGCTTCCCTGAAAGATCTCTTTCCACTTCATTCCACTTTTGACAACCACCGATTGTCAAATCTCTGCTCCTTCATGATCAATTGAAACTAAACTTCCTGTAACTTCTACCCATTTGTTCTAATCGTGCCCATTAAAGCTACACAGAACAAGTATGTTTTTAATGCAATTGACAACTTTTCACATATTTAAGAAAAACTTGCTTCCTCTTACTTTTCTGTAGACCAACCCCATATTCTTCAGCTTTCTTGGCTTCTAATCATCCCGGTCACTTTCCTGAATAGTTGGTGGTATGTTCATGTCTTTTCTGAATTCTGCATCCAGGAATGTTCACAGTGGCAAACACAGGTGGAAATGGTGCCCTTACTTCCAGATGGGATGCTGTACTCCACAAAACCTAACATCTTGGCGTTTTTTGTAACCACAGCATACTGCTGCCTTCTCTTAGGCTTGTCGTTAACTGAAATCCCTCAGCATTTTCACACAACCATTCAACTCAATTTTCCCCACTTTATATTTGAACAATTGCTTTTCCCCTGATCCCATGCCACCCCCCTCCACCAGCCAAATGCAAGTTTTTAGTTTTATGATGTTTTCACCTGGTTAGCATGTAAAGTCATTCTGCTACCTTGTTCTGTCATCTCCATTGGTGCTTTCTCCCTTATGCCAGCAGCAGTACAATAAGCATGCCTTCTTTATCTTCCAAGTACTTGAAAATGTTGAACATTCCTTTGAAGACCACCTTCTAGATTGGGTACCAAATCGTTTATTAACAAAAAGCAAGTTAATGAATGTTCATCCAGGTGTAAATGTTCTGTAATTTTTAAGTTCTGTTGTTTCAAATTCTTTAGTGAGCACACATCTCATATGACTGTGAGCCTTTGAGATTTTTAGCACTGGTATGATGAAGGGATGATTATCAGATACTCATGTGAAAGAGCCAGCTTTTCTATAGCTTTCTCTCGCCACTCTTGACAAAGTTGGATTCTCCTGAGTCTGTGTCACATCCATTTTATTCATATCTTAACTACAGCCCTTAACCATATTGCATTAATGTATTAGTTTACCTCCCTGAGCTCTCTGAGCAGAAGACCTTGGCTTCATCATCTTTTTGGCCCTGGTATCTAGTACAGTGCTGATTTAATATATAGTAAATACTTCATAAATGTTTATTGTAGTATATCATGTACTTTCACATTTGACCTGGCTCTGCTCTAAGATTCTTCTTAGTTTATATCTAGAAAATTCAATTCCTTGAAGCTGAGAGGGAGAAGAATGCTTACCATCTCACAGAGAAGGACAAAGAGATACAGCGACTCAAAGACCAGCTGAAAACCAAATATAGCACTACTGTGCTGCTGGAACAGCTGGAGGAGAAAACAAAGGAAGGTGAAAGGAGGGAACAACTGTTGAAATCGTTGTCTGAAGAGACAGATCTAGTGAAAAAACAGCTGTCTACTACAACTGCAAGACTCGCTGAACTTGAAACCAAAGCAATTCATTCATCACAGGTACTAATCATTTCTTTAAACCCAGATTTTTTCCCTTTCTGATGCAATAAAAACTTTTTAAGAAATAATTGTGTGGGCTATCCACTATTAATTTCTTTTAAAAAATTTTTATTGATTGATTTTAAAAAAGGTTTTATTTATTTTTTAGTAGGGAAGGGAGGGAGAAGGAGGGGAGAGAAAGATTGATGTGTGAGAAAAACATCAGTCAGATGTCTCTCACATGCCCCCAACCAGGAACCTGGCCTGCCGCCTAGGCATGTGCCCTGACTGGGAATCCAACCAGTGACCTTTCGGTTTGTAGGCTAGCACTTGTCCCACTGAGCTACACCAGCCAGATTATATTTATTCATTTTTTTTAGAGAGAGAAACATCAATTTGTTGTTCCATTCACTATGCATTTATTGGTTGCTTCTTCTATGTGCCCTGACTGGAGATTGAACCCCCAACCTTAGCATATTAGGTCAATATTCTAACCAACTGAGCTATCTGGCCAGGGCTTCACTATTAATTTCTATTTTAATCAGCATGTCTAATTGCTATAACAAACCACCTCCAAATCTCAGTCTTCTACAACAAATGTTTATTTTTCCCTCATGTCACAGTCTAGTGCAGGCTGGAGTGGAGGAGGCTTTGCTCCTCAGAGTCATTCAGAGATCCAGATTATTTCTTTTCCCCCACCCTTCCTATCCCTTAATGGCAGAGTCTTCCATCAGAGGAAGATCCTCTTATACAGCTGTGAGCTAGGGAGAGCCTGTGGAGAACTGGGGAGGGTTTGGGGTGAGGCATGGTTTCGGCATATATCACTTCTGCCCATATTCCATTGGACAGAATTCAGTTTCAGGGCCTCACTAACCACAGGGAAGGCTGGGAAATGTTGTCTACAGTGTGCCCAGGGGAAAAAGGAAAGAGGTTTGGTGACCTATCTCTGTTATAGTTTCTAGCTAGAGAACTAAATTCAGAGGGAGTAAGGGCTACATATTAGGGTGAGTATCTAGAGTACTTTGGAGAAAAAAAATATTTTTAATTTCCTTGCCAGCATTTACATAAGGACTGGAATACTGCTTTCTCTGAGTTTTGTTGGCCAGCCTAGATACCTAACTATCTATCTAGTTCCCTTCTTTTTTTCCTTTATGAGAAAATGAAGGAAAAAGAAGTTATGTTTTAAGTTCTACATACTCTATATGAACTAGTAATAATACTGTTACCAATATAAACTTAGAAAACAACTTTTACCTTCTGTTTAACAATTTATTATTTTCCAGATTTAATTTAAATAGCCCAGTTTTGTTTTGTCTCCTTTTCCGGTGATCCTGGGGTCCAGATGACCTCAAAGTCCCATTAGATCTGAAATCTCATGGTTTCCAATCCATTTAGGGCACTTCCAGAAAATCTTTTTTTTTTTTTAATATTTTATTTATTTTTAGAGAGGGAAGGGAGGGAAATAGAGAGAGAGAGAAACATCAATGTGCAGTTGCTGGGGGTTATGGCCTGCAACCCAGGCATGTACCCTGGCTGGGAATCGAACCTGGGACACTTCGGTTCCCAGCCTGCGCTCAATCCACTGAGCTACGCCAGCCAGGCTTGAATCTTAATTCTGCTCTGGTACCCTTCACCTGGCATGCGGTTCACTGGCATGTATAAGGTCTGGATTTTGGGAAGCCCCTATGAAGTAGAATGAGGAAGCTTCTATTATTACATTTGTGATATTAACTAATATTGGTTTATTAACAGACTGAGACTACAAAATGCTTCAACTCATCAATGAATAATATTCATGAGACAGAACTACAGCTGAGAGATGTAAGTTCCTTTTCCTATTAAGTTATGGCTAAAGAGGACTAATTTCATCCATAAATTTCATGGAATTTGACAGCATTGATGCTGTGAGTTGAAAAAAAACCTGTTGAGATAGAGAACTGAGTGGTTTGAGATCATCTCTCTGGATGACTGACTACCTTTAGTCTCCAGGTATTCAAGAGGACCAGTTCCTCTAATCATGGTCTCATTGGCTAGAAAGCCCTAGAAATCACCCATCACTACCAAATACCTCAACAATACCCTTCACTTAAATCTAATTTGCCCAGCTATTTTCTTATTATAATATAATAGTTTGAAAAGGCAAAAGCATTCTTTGTATACTCAGTACTTCATTTCTGTAGAACGTGATATGGAATTATTTTCAATATATGGTGAAGCCATATTATTGTACACTTATATCTTAAATGGATTGGTAGGTTCCATTGGGAATTAAATTGAGGACACAGGACTACTATTCACAGTGTATTTTTTCAAGTTTTAGGCTTAGATATACAAAGTATGAAATTCTTGATTTAATTATTACACCATTAGGTAAGTATTTTGATTCTAGAAATATTACTAGTATGTCTACTCTGACCTAAGTACACTCTTAAGGTTCCTGTTTTATCTAGCAAGTGTACTTTGTGGTCTATTTGATCTTCAAAAGAAGAATTTAAATCTGTTGAGTGTCTGTATAGTGGGGTCCTATAGTGAGTACCCTTATCAAAATAATCTACTTAGCGACAACTAAAATAAAGAAGAAACATGGTTTTTTAAAGAACTATTAAATGCTTTTTTTGTCTGACATATCATCCCCAGGATCTAGAACAGTTGAAAGAATGACCAAATGGAATCTTATGTGAATTTTACTAGTGTCTCCTTTAGCAAAGTACCTGAAAATATATGCTATTTTCTTAAATTCATATGTAATTTGTAGGCTTTTCAGCGCTGCTTTAAATATAAACAAAAGTTACTTTTAGATCATGGTTCTTTTTATGAAATTCACTTAAAATGTTACATGCTTATACTCAGTTTTTTTTCTATCTTCCTAGATTACTAAAGGAATACATTGTACTTCTCTGCTCTGTTTACCTCAGTAAGGCTTTTAGACAAATGGAATAAAATTAACCTAACTCACCTTCAAATGGTGATGTAGATTGAGCAATGCCTTTCAAACTCCAAAGTGCACATGAACCTAGGGGATCCTCATAAAATGCAGATTCTGATTTCCTTGGTCTGGGATAGGACCTGAGATTCTGGACTTCCAACGAGCTCCAGCTGCTGCTGCTGCTCTTGCTGATGGTTCAAAGGCCATCCTTTGAGAAACAACTTACTCCTAATAAGCAAGAAGTGGCTTTGCTCTGGTTGTCACTTTGCAATCTCTGCAGATTTTTAAGACAGGGAGGAAAATTGTAGTTGGAGCACTTAGGGAGCAGAATAGAGAAATCTCACTCCTGATAGTCCACACACTTTTACATTATTCACCTTTTGAGAGCTCAGCAGTTCTAGTCCCATACTCCTCCTCGGTGTTCCCACAAAACTTCCTGTGGACATTTGCCTACCTATTTTAAGATCTGTTAAGCTAAAAGAAGCCCTAAAATCCTATGTTTGCCTTCTGTAAGGCCTGTTGTATCACTCCGCAGCTACATTTAAGTCTGGCCAACATTTTGAAATAATTATGTTAATGATGTGAATTGTCTGGCATCAGCAACTTTTGAACTAAATGAAGCCAAAAGGCAGTTTTCATAGGCATGTCTTGTTTTTCATTTTTTTAAAAAAGTCTCATTTTCAAATACAGACTTTAGGGAAGATAATTATTTTCAAATCTTTTATTTGGAAAAAATTCTAATTTATAGAAAAGTGACAAGAATGAAAATGGTACATAACACACCCACTTACCAAGTACACCAAATTCTATCATTATTAATGTTTTACCCTCCTCTGCACTTTCTTTCAGTCCCCACCCCCCACATGTACACTTTATTTTTATCTGAACCATTTGAGAGCAAATTGCATATGGATATACTTATACTTACGACTCTTATACTTTACAGTTTGAGCCTATATAGTTTAATTTTTATTCCTAAGAACAATGATATTCTCTTACATGACTAAAGTACAAATAGCAACTTCAATAAATTTAATATGGACCCTATCCATAGTCCAGTTGTCATTTGGCCTGCGTTTTTATTCCTCCAGTAGAGGCTAACATTTAGTCTAGGTTGAAATTTTTGTCTAAGGAACGTTTACTGGATCCTCTCCAACCCGGAGGAAGAGCTTTAGTAGCGCTCCACAGGGCTTCACTTCTGCCCACACTTGCTCTGTGTTTTTACTGTAACTTGGATGGAAATGTGAAGGCATGCCTAGCGGACCTGTAGATGACACAAGGCCGGAAGGGAAAGCTAATGCAATGATGACTCTAAAGAGCAAAACTAGTAATATCGACACTTACTGATAGCTATCAAACCCCTTTATTGATGCTATTAAAGAGAAGAATGCAGATTAACAGGGTCGGTGAGAGAGGCCGGGTGTGAAGAAGTGTTTACTACTTTAAGGGACGTGGCCATCACGTGACCTTTCAGAGTGGTGCCTCTCAAATCTTACATTAGCCCGCAGTTTTGTTTCTCACTGTGAGTGATATATGGACAGTTTTCTTTAAAAGAAAATCTGCATAACCATCCAATGCTAACTTAAATTATTTATATTAAAATATTTCTTAAATATGGAAAGGCTAAAATTTGGTATAAAATGAGGTATTTTTATTCTCAAATGTAGGATTTGTAAGTATTTGGATAAGTGGGCTTTTTGAGTCATACAGTGCTACATCTCTTTATCAACTAAATTTGAGTATCCTATATAATGTAGACTGAATACACAGTATCTTCGTTTGATAAATGAACTTTAAAGTCATACAAGAAGAACAAATATAACTGCCTGATGGGGGCAAAGAGAAAAGTGGTCAAGTGGCTGGAGGGCCCTGGACTAGGTCTTTGATTCCAGAAGTTGCCTCTGTCTTCCTGATCCATTTCCTAGCTTAATGGAAAACAGACACTGGAAATCCCTCAAGCCCCACCCCTAGAAGCTTTGCTCAGGAGTTTGCAGGATGTTCGTGAAAGGGGCCTAGCAAAGGTTGGAGGAACTCTCTAGTCTTAGAGTTTTCATGTATATAGATCTTTTTGGAAATGCACTTGAACTGCCTATGTCTTTAAAGAGTAGAAATTCTTACCTGAAGGAAGATGCCCTGATATACAACCAGAACCTTCCACTATATTTCTTACAACTTATCCCATCTCATCCCTGTAGAGTGAGATGCCAGCTTGTGGAGAAAGGCAGCCCTCCTTTTACAATACATCTACAACAAGTGTAGGGTGATTCAAGAAGAATCTAACACCTTGGAAAATATATTACAGTTTGTTTTACTTCACCATGTAAGGCTTCACCATGCAATGTGTGTTAACAACTTTGTGCTTGTACCAGCTCTTTCTGGCAGCCCTGAAGCCTATGAAGTTAGGCATCCTGGCTGCTATTTCAGTCACTGATAACAGTAAATTACAACAGGTCTGGGATGAATTATGACACCAGGGGAACATATGAAGAACTTGGGAGATTATAGAAATAGCTATGATCATTTTATTACAAACGGTTTGTCAATGTAAGAAACATGCAAACCTGTAGAGAATTTTTATAATAGTTTATTTGAGCCAAACTGTCGACATGCCAGGAAGCAAGATCTCACATCTACTGCAGATGACAGTTTTGTAGTTCTATTTATAAATTTGGAACTAATGAGGGAATTCTTCTGTGAGCCATAAGAATTTTTATGTACTAGAAAAGACTACATCACTTGGGCTTCCTTGCCCATTTTCAGATTTTGCTTTTTTAATTTCTATTTTGTTATTATTATAATAATGTTTATAATTGGTTTTCGTGTACTTTCACATTGAGGCTCTAGAGAAAAATCAGCAATGGATTGTTTATGATCAGCAGCGAGAGGTCTACGTAAAAGGACTTCTAGCAAAAATCCATGAGTTGCAACAGAAATTGGAAACAGCTGCTCATTCACTCCCACAGCAGACAAAAAAGAATGAATCAGAAGGTACTGGTATAAACATGGTCTTTTGGGATAGTTCTGCCTGACATTTTCCAAATTCTTCAATTTTAGATTTTATAGGTGTGTGTTAGAAAGTAAAATAAGCTACCTGGCCAGGTAGCTCAGTTGGTAAGAGCATTATTTCCATATATCAAGGTTGTGGGTTTGATCCCCCATCAGGGCACATACAAGAATCAACCAATGAATGCATAAATAAGAGAGGCAACAAATTTCTGTCTCTCCCCCCCACTTCTTTTTTCTAAAATCAATAAATTTTTAAAAAAAAATTTTTTTAAAGAAAAGAGCAAGTCTTACTAAAAGGGAATTCTGAAAAAATACCATTTTAGCCAGTCTGTTTTATTTCCCATTGTTTTCTGATAAAAGAAGGCAAAGGGCACCAGGGGAAGGGGTCTCCAGCAGCTCTGAAGGCACATTACATTTTCTCCACTGTGCATGTCCTCCCCTCCTTCAAAGCGCTTCTCCAACTTTATTGGCCCCAGAGCTGCCTTGTCACCAATTATCATATTAGTCCCAGGAGAAAGAATACATTTTATAGGTGACACTTCAATCATTTGAATCTCACCACAGAATTGAGATGAAGTTTCTTGTTAATAATGCTGGTTTTTTTGGCCAAGTGCTTTGCAGTTTCCCTAACATTGCTCTCAGCTGAGTTTCACAAGAAATTCATCTGCTAGGGAGCGGATGAGACAGAGAGTCATTACTCATCTTACAGGTGACAATCTAGGGACAGAAGAGAAACCCCATGCAAATCACTCACTAAATTCCTGAGCACCCTAACAGGAAGGAAGCCTTAAAGTACACAGATAGAAGGCTAAAGAAAGGCGAGCAAGGCTCTTGGGTGTTTAAAATGAAGCTAATTCTAGAAAGAAACTATAAAAGGAATGTGCCTGGAGATAATTCAAAGCTGTTTATCCCTAAGGGGACAAACTTACTACTGTAATGCCTTTACAAGGTTACCAAACATGAAAGTAGGATTTTAGTTATGGGCTAAGTCTAATTTTTTTGTTGGTAACATAGGGGTGTACGTGTGTGTTATCAAAGTAATAATCATTTGCTAAAATATTTAATAGTACAGAAGGGTCCTGCTCCACCTTTCCCATCACATCCTGGTCTCTGTTTCATCCTATCAGGGCAGCTGCTGTTCACATTTCTGTTTTTTTAATGTTGGTAACGATTTCACCTATCAGTAATGAGCTAGTATCCCTATTTGTTGATTTATCTTCTTTAGACATTAGTGACTCTCCCTCTCCATAGAATAGTCATGTTACTATTTTTAGTCCTTTTAGTGTTGTAATTTCAAGCAATGTACCTGGACTTGTGTTTTTGTCCCGTCAAATATCAGATCTACCTCTTGACCCTTCATTTTGTAAGGTGAGGAAATAATGTGACCTTGTTTATAGAGCCGGGTTTATCTTTATCTTTTCAGAAATATTACATATTTCATAAAGTGCATCTTGCCCTGCTGTGTTTGTCACAGGTTATCTTCAAGAAGAAAAGCAAAAACATTACCACTACCTCTTGGCAAGTGCAAAAAAAGATCTTGAGGTTGAACGTCAAACCGTAACTCAGCTGAATTTTGAACTTAGTGAATTTCAAAGAAAATATGAAGAAACCCAGAAAGAAATTCAAGATTTAAATAAACTATTGTGTTCACAAAGAAAGGCAAATATACAACACCTGGAAGATGACAGGCATAAAACAGAGAAAATACAAAGGCTCCAGGATGAGAATGATACTGCCAGGAGAAGACTCGAAGCAGAGAAGACGAGATCTGAAGAGCTCTTATCTCAGGTGAGCCCAACCAATAAGGTTTTCCGTGATACATAATGCAGATTTTTCATTGTACTTACTAAGTGTCAGGGACTACTTTAACCACTTGGGAACCAGCAAGGAACAAAACAATCCTGTCCCCATTGTGGGTGTTCATACTTAGAATGGAAATAGGCCATAAACAAGAAACTAAAAGTAGCACCAGATAATCTGACAAAGAGGAACTGGGGGCCAGAGAAGGCCTCACAGAGGAAATGGTATTTGGACAAACACCTGATGACAAGAAGGGACCAGCATGGTGAGTGGCTCTCCAGCCATAGGAGCTCACATACACTTTAAAGGCCCTGAGAGAGGAGGTAAGTATGTGTGAGAAGCCCAAAGATTTATAGAGAGGAATCAAGGCTGACTCCTAGGCCTTGACCATGGCACTGTGCTTACGTGCCATTCCTGTGGCCCCTTCTGTGTTCTCACACTCCCAGCTTTACGCCAGGATGCTGAAGTCCCCAAGTCTGGATTTTGAGAACAGTATTTGGAGTCTATAGCTGGGCTATAGTCCAGGATGTATGTGGCCTTAGGCAAATCCCCTAACTTCTCTGACCTGCAGGTTAATCATGTGTCAAATTAATAATTTCTTCTCGCCTCACAGGGTTTTTGTGAGGGGCAATGAGAGAATGTAGAAGAGCTTTGTAAACCAAAGGGACCTGTTAGTGATGGCTACTGTTAGAACAGTAATTTTAAAAATCCTTAAAGTTGAGGGGGTGGGAAATAAACTATAACATGTGTCCTCTTAGTCTTCAGCACACTCACTTCTGCCTACAGGTGTAAGCGGTGATATTTGTGAAAGATTATGCAAAAATGGCTGAGAATTTTGCTCCAACTCTGTGGCCAAGGAAGCGAGGCCCTGCCAGCTATTATCCTACTCAGAGATATTAGTAGATTAGACAGCAGAACCTCCAGAACAGTGGGTGTGGCCACTGCAGAGTCTGTGCTGTCCCTCGGCTTTCAGTCTGTGCCTCAGGGAGCTCGCAGCCCTGGCAGCACTGCTCAGCTGCTGGCATCCATAGCCATCAGCCCCCAGCTGGAGTGACTCACTCAGACTAGCAGGTGGTGTTCTGGTTAGGGATGTGAGACTCGTGAGTGCTCATGCCTCCAGGTCAAGCGATAGAAAGGCTGGATGTGACCACACTGTGTCTGTTTACACCCTGCAGGTCCAGGTTCTTTACACGTCTCTGATAAAGCAGCAAGAGGAACAAACAAGGATAGCTCTGTTGGAACAACAGGTACTTGCTGGGGTTGCTTCTAAATCTGATATCACCCATTAGAAAATGGAATTTTCTCTCATGTTTACACTATTCTGTGAAGAGCCATTTGAAAGTTGTGAAAAATATATATTTTTTAAACTTTATCTGTGCTACCATATACTACTGTTACTGTTGTTAGGCTAAAACAGATTCGCTGAGCTGAGATGGCAATTTTCTTGAAGGGTATGTTCACTTTGGCAAATGTTATTCTTCCCCAACCAGCTTTTGTAGTTCTGACTCTAGCCTATCAGGGTCTCCTTAACAGGGCTCCCTCGTCACTTCAAGCAGAACTCAAAGAGACACCATTTAGTCTGAGAACAGAGACCAGAGATCTTTAGTACATTCCAAACCTGGGATCGGCCATCTCTTTCCCTTCTCTCCCTTCCACATCAAAAACAGTGCTGGGGGAGATACCTATACCTCAGACACTGGCTTTTTGCTCCTTGGATCAACCAAGTCCTCATCCATAAACTTCTTTTTTATTTTAATTTTTTAACTGAATTTATCGGGGTGATACTGATTCACCAAACCATACAGGTCTCAAGTGTACAACTCAATAAAACATCACCTGCACACTGCGTTGTGCACTCACCACCGAAAGTCAAGCCCCTTTCCATCCCGTTTATCCCTTCTTTACTGCTCCCACCTCCCCCACCCTCCCTTCCCTGCCAGAGCTGCCACCACACTGTTGTCCATGTCTGTGTGTCACGCACATATATTTTTCCTTAATATCGTGCCCTTTTTCAACCCAGCCTCTCGAACCCTTTCCCCTCTGACAGCTATTGGTTTATTCTATGTATCTACACTTCTCTTTCTATTTTGTTTAACTATTCTGTTGGTAAGATCATATTTATCAGTATCTCACTGTGCTCAGTTGACTTCTTGCTCTAATAGTACGACAAATGTTTGCTTCTTGTGCTAATTTAAAAAATGCAAGTATCCAGTCACAAAAACTGGACAGTTTATACCAGCTGTAACTATCTTGTCCTGGGCATTTCTCCAGATTCAGGCATGTACTTTAGACTTCGAAAATGAAAAACTTGACCGTCAAAATATGCAGCATCAATTGCATGTAATTCTTACGGAGCTTCAAAAAGCAAGAAATCAAATAACACAGTTGGAATCCTTGGTGAGTCTAGAATGGTTAAAGGTTAAACTTAAAGCTTATTTTTTTCTTTTTCTTTCTGCCTTCTTCCCATTTATATCTCCACCCAGTTCCTGCACTAGGAGGATATCACTTAAAGAACAGCTGTTCCTCAGTCAGCAGGCAGAGCCCCTGCCCCATTTGAAGCAGCTGCCCTTTGAGCGTCAGTTCAGAGCACAGGAAGGGGTCATTATGTAGCTCTTGGTAATCATTACATTACCCGGGCCTAGGGTCATCCCCCACCCACCCTGGGCTGTGATTGGAGAGGCACACAGAAGTTCCTGACCTGAGGGAGGCAAGGGAGGGAATTACATTGTTCTATTTAAAAAGGAAGAAAGAAAGAAATGCTGTTTTTAGGGATAGTGGACTATTACTGTTAATACACTGTTTTAAACACATTGAGTTAAGCATTTTTTGTGGGTTACCCAGAACACATAATCCTTTTTTTTTTTTTTTTTTGGAATTCATAATCATTTATCTTCACTTTTTTTTACCAAATTAATTGGGTGTGACATTGGTTAATAAAATTATATAGGTTTCAGGTGTACAATTCTATAATACATCATCTATATTTATTGTATTGTGTGGTCACCACTCCAAGTTCATTCTTCCATCACCTGTCTCCCCTCTTTACCTTCTTCTACCCCTCCCCCACCCCCACTTTCCTTCTGATAATCACCATGCTATTGTCTGGGAACACATAGCCTTTAAAAACACAAACCTTTTATATAACACTGGTTCTCTGGGGAAGTGGTTTTTTTACTTGCCTATTTTCATGTTGCTTTGGACCAGACCTGTTGGGGCCTGCGTTTGTGTGTGTGTATCCTGTAGCACATAGTTTACATATCATCCGGTACTGCAGAGTGTTTGCAGGTGATGAAATGTTACAAATAGAAGTACTCAGTTTTTAAAAAAGAAAAAAACAATTGTTTTAAAAATCATTTGTGATGTCTTTACATATATAAAGAAAATATATTTTTGGCTCTATCCTTTAGAGCATTACTGATTTTGACCATTTATAATAGTTGAAATTAAAATTTATCATTCATTTCTGTTAATGACTGTTTTTCAAAGTACAGGAACCCGGAGGGCATACAAAAGAATCCATCCTTTTCCTGTACTTTGTTTCTGTTCCTACGGTCTATCATCTTCACAGGATGTTGTAAAATACTCATTTTTAAGCTTTATTCTAAGTTCCTCAGAAACATGAAAAAGGGAAGTCCCACAGGTATTATTACACAATTAGTCATTTCTGTGTTTAACTTGTTTGATCTGCTAAAATTCTGTGCTGCTCTTAATCCCATGTAGTTCTTTACTGCTGAAGTGCTCCTCTTATTCAAACTAGCAAATTCTGTCCTCCTTGCACACAGGCTGGCCTTTACATTTGGCTCTAAGCATTTTAATAAAACCTACTCATTTCAGCACCTGACCCCTGTTCTTCCTGGGTAATCTGGGCAATTTATAACAACATCATATGTTAGCACCATAATACCCATGAGCAGAGATTCAAAAGAAAATCTGTCTGCAGGGCTGAAGCGGCTGGGCCATCTGTGGAGCAGGTACTACTTACATATAAATGGCATTCATATGACATTTATTTTTCAGAAGCAGCTTCCTGAATTTGCCTTCACAGAGCCATTAGTCACTTTCCAAGGAGAGACTGGAAACAAAGTAAAAGCTGCCTCACCAAAAAGCCCCACAAATGCACTAAACGAAAGCCTGGTGGAGTGTCCCAAGTGCAGTGCCCAGTATCCAGCCACTGAACATCGAGACCTCCTCGTCCATGTTGAATACTGTTCAGAATAGCAACCTAATTGTTCTTTATTTTTGCCACAAGATTCAATACTGCATCTTACATCAGTAAATGAACATTTTGAATTCCTTATTTTACCTCTTATATAAGAAACTGTCTATCTACCTTGGAGACTCTGGTGCAGAAGTTTATCACTGTATTTTTTGGGCTGCTTTGCATTTTCCTTGACAGGGAATACCTCACTGAGATGGTTCCCATTCAGGCTTCAGCGTGCGCTGAGACAACTGACATGTTGCACTGTTAAAGTACTTGACAGAGGAAAGACAAGTTATTGTTTGTGAATTAAATCTACACACAGGCAAGCAAATATTTTGTATGTTGTGGGTCTTTAAAAATCAGAGGTAATTAACCAAGTATCTTACTGTATGGGCACTTTTTATCTAAGCACTTGATATACGTAAATAAATGTAGCTTCAATTGAGTCCATTGTTAACAGATGGCAATACTTTAATTTCTTTCCTTGTTATTATAGAGAGGTTATTAGACAAGCTGGGAATTTTCTTCATCTTTATTGCTGCTTACTGTTGAAACTGTAAACCTAGTAATGTTCTAAGCACAAAGTAGATTCTGCTGCAGGAATACTCCCAAGTCGCCACACACACAGTGTTTTCTGTCATGTTAACTGGCTGTCACTTTAAGTTGAATTTCAGTAGCACAGCATATTGGTCAGTTAAAATTGTTAAAATCTAGTGCTCCTGTTTTAATTTGCAGGTATTTTATTGACTATTTACTTACTTTTGGCACTCTTAAAGCTGGGCAATATTATGAGCAGGTACTTGCCTATCTGAATATATATTTTTATACATGTGTATGTAAACCAAAAACATTTTTATTTCTCCAGGTTTTCTAAAATGCTTAACATTAGGTTACTGTTAGTAATATAAAGGAAGAAAAATAAAATTATTTAATAATTTTTGATATGTCTAGCATGTATGTATATAAATGGGTATTCTAAGATTTCTACTCAGAGAGAAGTGCCAGAGAGTTACAGATTAACAGACAGTGGAAAATACGGTAGTTAAGGGTACACTGGAATCAAAAACTACATGAAGCACAGAAAAGTTAGGCAAAATACCCACAATCATTTTTTTTTAAAAAGACATTGTTGGGTTTCAAACTCCAAGCCAACTTCAACGCCCATGTTCTCTCCACCATGCCAGAAGCCCTTATGAATTCACACACAGTGTGCTGACTTAAGTGATATCAAACTGGAGTCGTGGGATGTGTTTTGTGTTGGAAAGAAAAATGGCAGAACACACTACCTGGTCTATATTCCTCTGGTGTGAGAAGATCTGCTTTTTCAAATCCCTCCACCTGTTCCATGGATCTTTGCCATGCCAGTTCTCTACCATCTTTAATTTCAACTTCAAACATTTCTTAAATGCTAACTATGTGTGAGGCTCTGGCCTAGGTATTAGTAACATAGTGATAATAAAATACAGTCTAGTAGAAAGGGACCAATATCTAAACGGGTAAGTGTAATACATTGTAGAAAGTGCTATAATGAAGTTATATGTAGGGTAAAGGAGCTTATTCATTTAAACATTGCCTTATATAGGTTGACAGTCTGACTCTAAAGATACAAATCTTATACTAAGATAAAAGTAAAAAGAAGTAGGAAAAAGCAATAGGAGAACAAGACAAAGAAGTAAAATGGAGCCACTCAAGGATAGCTCCAAGGCAGGCCGTGGAGTGCTTCTGACAGGTCAGCCCTGAATTTGGTGCTGAGCTTTGTCGATGTTTGCACAGAAACAATTCTGGATACCATTCACGTGACTTAGAAATACAGCTGATCTTCAAGAGAAATGCCACTATAATGTTCCTGGTACTTAGACCTTCAAGATTCCTCCAATGTGCCTTCATAGAGAAACCATGTAATGTAAAGGTCCGCAGACTCAACAATAATCTGATAAACAGCAGCGAGTTCCACTCTGGTTTCCTAATGTTAATGCGTAAGTGAAAAATTTGTACAGAATCATGTCCATAATCCTCAAGTGCAGGCAATTCCATACTCCCAATACATAGCTCTCTGCTGTTATCCCAGAGCAAATTTTAGAGCTGGGAGCCAACTGGAAAGCCTCTGACAGCCTGCCAGCTGGACTGTGGAGACTGGAAAATGCATGCCTTCACCTGAAGGGGGCGCAGCTGCTCAGCTCCAGCCAATATCCTATGTGGATGGGTCCAGTATGGCTGATCTTTCAGATGTTCCAAGACATAGAAGTTTTAATTGTGACATCTCCCAACTTAATAAATGTTGGGGAAAATTATCACTGTGTGTGCCAAACACTTTTCCAGTTTTTAACCTCTGCAGAGGTGTCCAAAACGCAGCCCACAGGCTGCATGCGGCCCAGGATGGAGATGAATGTGACCCAACACAAAATGTACTTAAAACACTATGAGACTTGTTTGTTTCTGTTAGTGTTTGTGCATCTAATGTGTGCCCCAAGACCAGTCTTTTTCTTGGTTCAAAGATGCCAAAATGTTGGACACCCCTGGAGAGCATCTGAATGGGGCAAAAAGAGTGGCTACTTTAGCCTGAGATGGCAGAAAGCTGTGGCAGGCTCAGTCCTGCCTGCTCTCTTAGGACTGAGGTGTTCTCAAATCCAGTTCAATCAAACACACCTGTCTGAGGGACACAGCATGAATATGACCCTCCTGAAAGTCCTGTCCACCTGCCATCTGTATTCTTGGCCACACTTCCCACACAGATCTGGCTGGCTGCTAGCACTTCCTCACTACCCTGTACTCTCCACATCCAACAAGTGAGGGACTGTCATACCTGGAAAGGAACTAGGAGGTCATCTACCCTATCATCTCTGGTCCAGGAAGTTTGCCTCACGTTTGGAGTGTGTTAAAAATGTTGATTCCTTGGCCTCCCCCAGACCTCCTAAACCAGAATGTATCAGTAGGGAACATGGAATATGCATTATTAAGCTCTCCAGGGCAATCCAGTGTTTTACTGAAGATTGAGACCCGAAGAGCTAGTCCAACCTTGACTTCCTGATGAAACAGAGTCCCAGAGAGGGGAGTGTCTTGTCCAATGTCACATAGTGGGTTGGCAAGAGAATAAGGGAGGCGCAGGGCCCCAGAGGCAGTGGTTGTGAGAGCCCCTGCACCTTGGCTTGCGTGCCATGATTCCAGAAAAGTACTCTTTCCAAGACTCCCAGTGGTCTAAGGTAGATCCCCCGTGGCTCATTGGCCTGGTTCTCTTTTATTGTTCCTTATCTTCTGTAATGTGCTTTCGGCTTGGAATCTAATGATATTCTGGCTTTAGACGGTCAAGTGGGAAATATTAGACATCCAAGGGGCCAATGTAGTAGTGGCACCCAAACAAGGGTGAAAGGTCAAGATCAAGCTAGGGGTCTGCATAGAATCTGGAGAAATGACAAAGAAGCAGAGAAGACTGAGCCTGGGTAGCATCTCATGGTCCAGAAGTAGGTAGGAGCACTCCAAGAGAATCAAATCAAAGTTGTGTCTGCAAATGAAGCAACGAAACCAGAGAAAAAAGGAATGCCATGCACCCAAGAGAATGAGTTTGCATCTGATTATAACCTTCACTTTCTTGCCTGCCAGACTCACTGTACTGATTTAACCCAAGGACCAAGCACAACTTCTACCAAAATGTTTTAACAGGGATTACAGGTAATTCTGAAAAAATCTCACCCATTGCAAGTGACTGTAACAAGCATTACTTGATTTGGCACACATGTAGCTCATCTGAGACAGGCAAGGTGCCATGCAAGGCCCTAGAGGTGGACAGGGGTCCCTCCTTTAGCAGAGGCAAGGGAAGGTGGACATCGGTGCAGATCAATGACAGCACATAAATGCCCCATTAGAAGGCACCCCTCAATCAAGAGAGGAGAGGTTTTCCAAAGGAGGTGATGACTGAGTGAGGTTTAAGAAAGCAAATAATATTCAAGTTTTAATAGTGTTTGTTACTGGACTTATGTTGAAAATGAATCATTAAAAAGTCATTAAGGAAAAATGGCCTGAGTAATACTGGTCTCTTTCTGATGACAAAGGATGATGATGGTATAAGAGGAAGGGCAGGAGCGAAGATCAGATTGTGAAAGGCGTTCCTTCACACTCCATTAATGATGTTGAGAGTCATGTAGCTACAACGATACAGAAAGCAAACTGTTTTGAATGTGAAAACATCAGAGGAGATAATAAACTAAGGTTTTAATGAAGAAGAAATTGACTTAGAAAAACAGCAGCTTTGCTGCTCGATTCATACAGTTTGCAGAATGGAACCCATGCCACCTTGCATGGGTTTGAAGGTGTGCATTTTCACTCAATTTTTATAAAGTAGAGGTAAGGGGGTGAGGCCAATAGTAGAGGATTAAGAGATAACTTCCAGAAAATATTATTTTCAAGATAAACTTAACAATCTCTTATATTTGTTCATATGTTATATAAATGATTCCCTTCTTATGGAGTGAACTTTACAGAAATGACTTCATTGGAGATCAAAAAGGAAGCATCTCAAAATTTAAATTTTATTTTGTTTTTCTTCTTTGGCAAATTCAGGGCAGCACGTTACTGTAGAAACAGCCCTGGAATGGGAACCATCTGACCCCAGCTGAAATTCTACTTCTGACTTTGAGCAGGTCACCAACTTCCCTGAGCCTCAGCTTCCTCCACTCTAAAATAGACGTGTTAATGCCTTCCCCAGCTATCTTCCCAGGATATCCTGAAAATAAAAATCCAATTTACTTAGGAGCTCCTATATATTACGTATTTTTAGTATACCAACCAATATGCTAAATGCTTCATAAGTATCGTGTCATTTTGTCCACATAGTAACACTGCATGAGAGTTTCTATAATTGCTCCATTATACAGGTGAAGAAGCTATGGTTTAGAAAGCTAAAGTCACTTGTCCAAGATCACATAGCAAAGAGAATGGCAGAGCTAGTATTGGAACTCGAGTGTGACTGCCTTTGGAGACCGAGCTATTGGCCCCTACTTTATCCTTTTCTATCATAAAGCCAGAAGATATATGTGAAAACACACTGAAGATGGGAAATATTGTCCAATATTTTTATTTTTCAGCAATGTTTACAGTGTGGATGGGAATGAAGAGAAGATGAGAGTGACACTACCTACTTCCAAGAACCTCCACTCATTTTACTCATCCATTAGAAAGAACCACACTCATCCTCATTTGCAACTAGCGACAGCACAGATGAGTTCAGATGCAAGTAACAGAAAAGGCTGACACTACTGAGTCATTCGTTGCTTCCTTCCACAGAAGCCTGTAATCGATAATCCCTATTTACATGACCAGTTTCACAATGTGTAGGTTGTGGGCTGTCATCTCAGTAATCCTCTTGTTCCCCTACTCGTGCTCACATAAAGGATGAGGCAGTTTCAAACGTCACAAGCTAATGAGAGTTTTTTCCAAAACCAAGAAGCACACAGCTAGCCAGGGTAATGAATGAGCACTTCTTAATGCCTTCCTTCTTTTACCCAGTAAAAGGAAGGAAGTTTACTGGAAATGGAAACATCCATCCCGAAACTCCAAAGTACGCTTTCCTTGCATCTCATGGACCAGAACTGGAATGATTATACGGTGTATTAGGATGGGCCGAGTTAGGTTCCAGTAACAGATAAACCCTGAAATCATCATGGCTTAACACAATAGCGGGTTTTGTTTTTTGTGTTGTTGTTTTTTTAAAAAAATCTTGCTCACCTCCCAGTTTTTGCAAGCTGGCGGACCTCCTTCGCCTCAGAGATGCACTCCCTGGAACAAGAGGCCTCCCGGGTCTCTGCAGTGACTGTGAAGACAGAAGCACGAGCTCTTAACTTCGGAGGGCCGGAAGTGACGCAATCTCCTCACATTCCTATTGGTCAGAACGTGGTCCCGAGGCCCCACTTCCTGCAGGGTGGCTGGGAA